CCAGCCAATACTAGCACATTACCTCACACTACTTTCTACTTGTCCATCATTAGATTATGATATCTTTGTGGAAGTAACCTGTAGAGGTATGGCTATTTAACAGAGAGTTCCTCCATCTTCCAGGGGAGTAATGCCCAGTAGTGTGTCAGGATAAACTTAAATATGGTTCAGCACATTTGATTCTTTTTGCTTAGCTCTTGCATGAGTATCAGTGCTGGCATAGTTCTGTTCCAAAGCTTCCTACTGATGGACTGTTTATGAGGGTAGCAGAACTGTCTAGTAATTTAGTTTCATCCAGAAAAGTTGAGTGGGATGATTTCAGTCTAACCATAATTAGTGAATGGAAATTAACTTTGTTTACCTCTTTATTATTAAAAAATGACTACATGATTTTAATATAAACTCTTATGATGTGGGGTTTTTTCTTTCTTTTTTCCCCCCTTAAGGGTCCTGGTATGTTTCATCCCTATGATAGTGGGCACGTAGCAATGACTTACACAGGTCTCTCATGTCTGGTTATTCTTGGAGATGATTTAAGTCGAGTAAATAAAGACGCCTTACTGGCAGGACTGAGAGCTCTCCAGCTGGAGGATGGAAGGTAAAAGATATAAAATATCTTACAACTCTCTGGAAGATTTAATAGAAAACCCAAATGTAGAATTAAACATGATACACACTTTTATAATATTTTCTTTCTATCTGAAAATGTTTTTGTGGGCATAAGCAATACAACAACATACTAGTTTACAGGACTAAAGAGCACTTTATATTCAGAGTTGCTTTCCTACTTGAGAATGATGGATGTTTGCTTACAGCTGTAGAAACATGCTATTGGAAAGTTAACGGTTTGGCTTGTGTCTTGGGGGTAGTTGTTTTTTGATTGTTTTTTTCTTATATCTTTTAGATAAGTGAGGTTTTCTCTGTATTCTCTGTTTTTGCAAGGCCCTGGTGAAGCACTATTAAGATGATGTTTGCTCTGCTTTGTGGGAGGGTGAACTTTATTTAATTTTGAGAGATTCAGTCCATTAATATACAGAATTAATTAACCTATAACTTATAATAGGAATATAATATTATTAAAATACATCGTGTGATTCATCCTTTTTGCATGCATTTTTTTAAAAGATGGTATATACTCTTTTGTTTGGTTTTTATGTAGGCTTGAGCTGGTAGCTAATGAAAACTTCTGCTAGGTTACATGATCTGTCTGTGTACTTAGATTTTAATGAATATATTTTTTTAAAGAGTACTTTAAGAAATATATAACTATAGAAATCTTATTTCTGAAGAAATTATGTGTCACTTCATAATGAAATTGTTGTCCCCATATACTGGCTACGAAAGCCTTTGTTTTGGTCAAATGGCTTTGTATTACCTAAAAGTCTTCTAAAATTAAAACTTATTTTTTAATGGAGCATAACTATTAAAATGCAGTGTTACATGTGTAGGTTTAAAAACAAAAACCACCACCAAAACCAAACACCTCCCCCCTCTAGAATGTTCTAAATGTAAGTGGCGAATTTGAACTAGATGATCTACCATTTTATGTTACTTGTAGCAACAAACTGACCTTAATGAGCTAAATTCTAATGTATGTATACATGAATTTGTTGGTCTGCTTGTGTTTGCATCATCTTCTAGCATGTGGGGTGCTTCTGCTACATCTTTATGCATTCCCATTATATGTTGTACCATTTTTGTTGTTAAAGTTTATTCAAGAGGAAGGAGTTAGGAATGAGTTGCTCCAAACCTGCCAGCATCTTGAAGTGGTTGCTTGTCATTGTTCCTGATTACAATAATAAACTGCACACAGTTAACCTGTTCTACGTGTTTGTATCATGTATGGTTTTAACGTACAGAATGATACCTCTTATACTTGACCCTGTATTTTATATTCCCTGCTTAAGAGTGCCAGCTATCCATCAAAGGGAAAGGAGAGTGCTTTGCACCTCTCTGGGGTAGAATTGCTACTTGGGCAGAAGTCAACTTCTAGTACAACAGACATTTTCATACCTATTAAAACAATTTTTACTGCACCAAAGAAGAAGGATGCACAAAGACCAGAACCTGACCTAACATCTTGTCCAGATGGAAACAGCAAGCGAGCTGTTTGAGGGAAAGAGAAACTTTTCTGGTGTTACCCCAGTATATTAGACTTAGTTTTTATTTCTTCACCCAAATCTTTTATTAACTAAAAAAATTATAATTATATTGTCTCTTTTTAAATGTCATGAATAAATGTGTGTATTTGCATTTCTAGTTTACTTTGGCTTAATATAATTCAAAGCCCCTAGATAAGATACAGTGCTTGAAAGACTGTCCTATATAAAAATATTCTAACTAGCTTTTCGAACCAAATAGAGGCTTATCAGGAAGCAAATCACAGCACCAGTCATCTTTGTAAAGGTCCTGAGAGAACACTGCACTGTATCTAGATAACCTAAATATAACAACTTTAAAATCTTTTCAGAGTTTGCAAAGAATCTAACCATTAGAAAAAAAAATGGATTGCAAGTAATTTTCACCATTTATATTAGAAATTGTAATGATAACAATTATATTTATACATACATGGGAATTTGTTCCTAAAGTTGGGCAGGAAAGCCATGTGAGCTATGAAGATTTCTAGGGAGGAAAAGAATTCTGCTAAGAAAAGTAGATTCTACAATGGTAACTCATATCAATGCATACCGTGACACGTGAAAGAATGTAAACATTAACATATTTGGATAAAGATCAGTGTCATGACATTACTGGAAATAAGGTTATTCAAGCCCCTAAATGTTAATAGTTCTATTAATTTTCCTTAACTTGGTTAGAATCACATCTTCTGAAAAGAAAATCTAATGTAGGTTTAGGTTACATTCATGTAAATACTATAAATAGAAGTAGCCAATTTATTTTGAAAGTAAAAATAATGCAATTCCTAAAATGCTTTTTATACTTTCTAATGTAATGGGCTATAAAATCTATAATGAAAGAAACTTTTCTTTCAGTTTCTGTGCTGTGCTGGAAGGTAGCGAGAATGATATGAGGTTTGTGTACTGTGCTTCCTGCATCTGCTACATGCTTGATAACTGGTCAGGCATGGATACAAAAAAAGCAGTAGACTACATTAGAAGAAGCATGGTGAGTATTCCCAAAGTGTTATTTCTCAATGCATTTTCAAGTTAATAGCTCTAGTTCTTTACTATGACTAAAAATCTATCCATCCAAATAGAAATATTACAGTAATTTTATTTTCTATTCCTACTTCAATGAGTTGAAAATGAAAAGTACATTCCTTTTTGTATTTATATTTTCATTGTAATGTTTGTATTAGCAAAGTAATTGTATTGATTGTATATGTTTGCTGCAATTTAAATTAAATCTGATCTTTTTTCATTAAAATTCAATTTAAATTTGAAAGCAAGTTTTCAAAAATGAGACCTGAAATTCCTATAACTTTAAAAAATGCATAAGTAAAACATTGTGCCACTAAGATCTTCAAATTTCAATGAGCTCTAGACTTGCTTTTTAAAATCATATACAGAATCAATGGAAAAACTAATTATTGAGATCAACTCAAGCTTATTAAATGTTCCCAGTCCATTAAATCCCCTTTACAGCACAATAAGGATCTAAAAAAGTCATAAAAACTGCCTGTATTGAAACAACACTGATTTGTGCCAAGAGCTTTTTGAGACATAGGTTCAGAATTTAACTAGATTAAAATGGTGGAATGGTCTGATAATAATTTTTCTAATAAATTGATAAATTATAATGTCTGTAAAAGTGATTTGCTTCTAAAGTAACTGGTTTGTGGATTTTTTCTTTAGTCTTATGATAATGGCCTGGCACAAGGAGCTGGACTGGAATCTCATGGTAAGAATGTTAACATGTTCTATACCCATTTTAAAGACTGAAATTGCAAAATGCTGTAAGAAGTTCAGAGTATGTCATGCTTTTCCTTCTTTTCTGGTTTTAAGGAAGTGGGAAGAAGAGGAGCAAATCCAAAACATGCCTCAGAATATGATGTCGTCTTCTCTAAATTCCACCTTAATATTAGACCAGATGGGCTCTTAATATATCAACTCTGTAATTCTTACCTCATGAATGTTTTGTTGAGAAATGTTGGCTGTAGTTCTTGTCTCTTGCTGACAGAGCATCCTACCATTGTTATTCTGTGGATTTATCTGAAGAGATCTTGTGCAATGCACTTGATAATTTCCAGTTTCAGCAGATATCAGTAAAGCCTAGAAACATTTACTCTGCTAGATTAAAGTATCCACTGGGGACTCAAATCTTGAAGCTGCAGTTAATTTTTGTAAATAGGTGGTAAGGGATTTTAGGAGCAGTTGCCTCCTAGAGTAGCACCAACCCGTCTTCCTTCTTTCTGGAGCCCAGCCCCGTGTGCCTGGGGACCCAGGGTCTCTGCCCAGGCTGCGAGACTGGGCTGCTGCTTTCCTGCATGCAGGTTTAACCAATAACAAAGTTGAGCATCTATCCAACAGACACACACACAGGACACACATCTTAAGATCTCTGTAAAAAGGATGAAGAAGTGTTCTCAGACCAGTTAATGTTCATCACGAAAAGCTTTCTGGCAGACCACTATGTACTGATTAGGAACATAGTTTTCTTCGGATGTTCTTTTTCATAGATTCAAAGTCAGTCTAATTCATATGCTGTTCATTGATGACATAAGCCTGCATATCATGTAGTGATAGGACAAGAGGTAATGGCTTCAAACTGAAAGAGGGCAGGTTTAGATTAGATGTTAGGAAGAAATTCTTTACTGTGAGGGTGGTAAGGCACTGAAACAGGTTACCCAGAGAAGTTGTGGATTCCCCATCCCTGGAAGTGTTCAAGGCCAGGTTGGATGGAGCTCTGAGCAACCTGGTCTAGTGGAAGGTGTCCCTACCCACAGCTGGGGGTTGGAACTAGATGATCTTTAAGATCCCTTCCAACACAAACCATTCTATGATTCTATATTGGAATGAAGAGTATGAACAAAATTTTATACTATTACACTTGTCTTGTTTTTAATGCCTGATCTAACCTGTTTAACATTAGCTAATATGTTACTATTCTGCCCTGTCGTATAACCACACTTTCAGGTCTAAGTTAATATAGAATACAGTCAGTTTATATATCGTGTAGTTCTAAACAATATTCAGTCTTTAGAATGCCCTACACATGCAGTGTTGATTGTTAAGGGATGTTAGGAATGGTTGCCTGCTCCAGCAACTGTTGCCCAGGACTCCTGTCTGCCTGGTTGCTGAAACCCAGTCCAGGGACTTGGGGTCTCTGCCCAGGCTGAGGGACACAGTTGCCACTTTCCTATTTGCAAGTTCAACCAATAACAAAGCTGAGCATGTATCTCAGATACTCACACACAGAGGACACTGACAAGGCCACCTCCTCAGTGGTACCCTATTCCCCTGCCCTGTTTGGGGCAGCGGGGTAACGGTGGAGAGGCTCAGAACAAATTGTGCTCAGACCAATGTGATCAGCAAAATGTCCAATTTATTAGAGGAAAGACACACTTTATATACTGTTAATACACCCAGACGTGTGATTCTTCTTCACATAGCATTGGATACATAAGGAAAACATACTTTGTGTCCAGTGTTAATTGGACCATAGCAGGTGTCCATAAGAGATGAGAAAACTTGTTCACCTGCCAAAAACTCCTCCTTGACCTTGGCAAAAAACCTTCTTTGTTCTAACTTCAGAGCCCGCAACCATATTAATTATGCAGCTTTTTATACTGTTCACACCCAGTTATGCCAAGGCAAGGCCCTCAAAATGCAGGGCAAATTGCTCACTCAATTTTGCCCTGTCTACAGCGGGGGAGGTAAACGAGCTGGAAGTGAAGTTGAGCCTGGGAAGAAGGGAGGGGTGGGGGAAGGTGTTTTCAGATTTGTTCTTATTTCTCATTATCATATTCTATTTAACTAGCAATAAATTAAAATAATATCCCCAAGTAGAATGTGGTTTGCCCATGATTGTAATTGGTGAGTGATCTCCCAGTCCTTTTCTGGACCCACAAGCTTTTCATATTATTTTCTCCCCTTGTTCTTTTGAGGAACGGGGTATGATAGAGCAGCTTGATGGACATCTGGTGGCCAGCCAAGGTCAATCCACCCCACTTACCAGTTGCTGTCATGGGCAAAACAGACTTGACTTAGGGAACATTCATGTAATTTTTTGCCAGTTGTTGTGGTTTTACCCCAGTAGGCAGCTAAGCCCCACACAGCTGCCCACTCACTCCCCCACCAGTGAGATCGGGGAGAGAATTGGAAGGGTAAAAGCTAGAAAACTCATGGGTTGAGATAAAGACAGTTTAATAGGGAAAGCAAAAGCCTCTCACACAAACAAAGCAAATAGAAGGAATTCATTCACTGCTTCCCCATGGGCAGGCAGGTGTTCAGCCATCTCCAGGAGAGCAGGGCTCTATCATGCATAACAGTTACTTGGGAAGACAAAGACCATCACTCCAAATGTCCCCCCCTTCTTCCTTCTTCCCCCAGCTTTATATGATGAGAATGATGTCATATGGTCTGGAATATCCCTTTGGTCAGTTGAGGTCAACTGTCTCAGCTGTGTCCCCTCTCAACTTCCCATGTGCCTCCAGCCTAGTCACTCCAGGGGGCAGCATGAGAAACAGAGAAGGCTTTGACTCTGTGTAAGCACTGCTCAGCAATAACAAGAATATGGGTGTCTTATCAACACTGTTTTGATCCCAAATTCTAAGCACAGCACCATAGGGACTGCTATGAAGAAAATTAACTCCATACTAGCCAAACCACAGCAGCTCAGGGGGGATGGAGAGTAGGGGGTTATGGACAATTCATACTACTGTCTCTCCTTTCTCCTCACACCTTTTCACTGATCCAGCACTGGTCCTTCCCACATGCTTCAGCCCTTGAGGATAAGCATGCTGCAGCATGGGCTTTCCACAGCCTGCAGCTTCCCTTCAGAACATATCCACATCTGTTCTGGCATAATCCTTTACTCTGTCTGTAGGGGGACAACATGCTTCATCATGGTCTTTTCCACACCAAAAAGTGCCCAGAGCAGCTCCTCCCTCTCTTTCTTCACTGACCTTAGTGTCTGCAGGATTGTTTTTCATGATTTTTTTTTCTTCCTCCTCTCTCACAATTGCTGTGCAGTGTTTTTTACTGTTTCATAAATATGTTATCACAGAGGTCATAGAATCATAGAATTGTTTAGGTTGGAAAAATTGATAACACTGGTGTTATCAACACCCTTCTAGATACCAATGCAAAGCACAGCACTGTGAGGGCTACTATGGGGAAATGAACACCAGCTCAGCCAGACCAAATACAATCTCCACCCCTTATTCCATACCATTTATGTCATACTCAGATCCCATATCTGACTATTTCCCATGCTTGCACAGATCTTGTTCTATGGTCTTCTTCCACCCCTCCAGATTTTGGGCTCCATTCTGTTGGGACGGATACTCAGGGCAGGAGAAGGAATCAGTTGTTGGGCATTGACACCAGCCTGGCTTCGGTCATTGTCACACTCTCCTTGCTCTTCGCAGAATTCACTCTTCATTGTCCTATGACTTTACTTCCTGCAACATACAACTTAGAACACAGATTATCTTTCCCCCAAGGTTAAATCTCCTTGAGGCACTGATATGGTTTGAAGCTGGCTCCCTGCCAAGTCCCCAAACCTCACCACAAGACTCCCCCTCCCCCCCAAACCAAGGGAGAAGAGGGAAAAAAACCCAAGAGAACCGAAACGAGAGAGAGACAGCTAAAGCAATATATATAAATATATTTACACTTATATTACAGTTATATACAATTGAAATATATACAATTTCACAAGGAAAAGGGAAAGGGAAGGGGGAAGGGAAAAAGGGAACAAAACCAAAATAAAATATACACGATCAATAGCCCAAGATCTAGCAACTAAAAGAATTAGCAAAAGAATATCTTACTACTCTCCTTGGGACAACAGAAAGTCACGCTGGAATGACCGCTGGCAACCTCTGTCTCCCAAGGTTGGCAAGGCCTTACCAGGCCTCACTCCCCAACACGACAGACTCAACAGCAGGGAAACCCACACCTCCAAAGCTGCTGGAAGGAAAGAGGGAGAAGGTCTTTCCTCCTTTCTTCTTATACCCCGGCTTACGTAAAAATCGTAGGGAATACCGGGTAAATCTGGGCACTTCCCTGGTTACAAACTGGTCACCAAGGAAGGCCTAGACTAAACTACCACAGGCATACACCAGGTCTCCCCATCTTCCTGCATTACCCACCAGGTACACCCTGGTCCCTGAGCAAAGACAATCCCATGGATGGGTTTGCCTTTTCTCATGGGAGGAGAAACCCACACCGACTTCCCCAGCCACTTCCCTGTGTGTAGTACCGGGACCTTATCCCCTCCCACAGTGTGTAGGGGTTTTGTTTGGGCAGGACCAGGGCGGTTGGCAGATGCCCTAGTGTTGACGAGAAGTGGCTTCTGCTAAATTTGCCTCCCAATGCTTCCATGTCCCAATACCTAACGCTCTTATCATAGTCTTCAGCAGTCCATTATACCTCTCAATCTTTCCAGAGGCTTGTGGGTGATAAGGGATGTGATAGATACACTCGATATCATGTTTCTTTGCCCAAGAGTTTATAAGATTATTCTGAAAGTGAGTCCCATTATCTGATTCAATCCTCTCTGGGGTCCCATGTCATCACAGAATGCGCCTCTCAAGGTCCCCCTGCTACCAAGAAGTTGCCAAATACAACCCATATACCTTTTAGAGGTAGTTCACTAGTGAAGGCACAGACATGACATTCTGTAAACTCACAAGCACATGCACATTTGCAAATTCCCCAAGCACCAGCATGGCCTCTCTGCCGATATGTGTCGCTCAACATTACTGGGACAGGCAGATTCTTTTAAAGATCCTTAGTAGAATGAGAATTGGTCACAGGGTTGTAGTTATATTTAGAGCTTTTGGGGAAATACAGACCCTCAGCTCCCCCCCACCCCCAACAGCCAGCACCAGGCACATGGACTGTGACCTGCAGGTCTGCTCCAACCATTGGTGCTGAGCCCCTCACTTTTCTAAGTCTGGTCTCTCCCAGTAGCTGCTTTTTTGGCATGCACCTCATTCCTGCCTCAGTGACTGGTGGCCAAGACCCTCACCTGCTCCAGTAACTGACACCATAGCCCAGGGGCACCTACAGCCCTGGTTTGACTCCTCCAGTAGCTTGGCACCAAATCCACTTACACAGGTCTCCCCAGCAGCTGACACTTAGCCCTTGAGGCACGCATGCACATGGAATACAGAGAGAGTTTATGCAGAGAGATAGTTAAGAAATGATTTAATGAGAAGATAGGACATACTGCAGTGATCAGGCACTGCAGGAGAAGAAAATGAAAGATTTTGGAGAGAAGAGAAAAATAGGAGTTTTCGCTCAAGGAAGTTTCTGCAATTGGGTCAAATTTAGAGTGGGAGAGTCCTTTCCCATGAATAGTTCTATGTATGTTTTCTCCACCTGACTCCCAGAGAAGTACTTGCCTGTTGCAAGAAGAGATAAGGCTCTCATAGACATGCCTAAGGCCTTGCTGGGAGATAGGCAGACCATTAAAGCACAGGGGAGAATACAGCCTTGAAGTTATGCACATATGAAAGGTATTGATATAAAAGCACCAGAATGTTGTTTTTTCCTGTTAGTGCTTTTTCACCTGCTGTGATTTTTGCAGGGAATTCTAGGGTTTTCAACTTCAGAATAACCTTTTTCCTTAATACTATTAGCTGTGGTCTGGTTCTCTGGGGTACCTGCGTGTACATCAATTCTCACAGGCACAGAGCTCAATCAGACAAGTGTATTGACCAGTGCCATTTTAGATGTGACTTCTTGAGGGAAGAGCAACTGACGTCATCTACCTGGACTTGTGCAAAGCATTTGACACTGTCCCACATAAAATCCTGTGCTGGTTTAAAGGTAAACCAGCAGGGGAAATGAACTCAACTCAAAGGAGAGATTATAAGTCAGAATAACAATTTAATAAAATAATACAATAAATACGATTATACAGACAAACAGTTGGTTTTAACCCACAAAACCCAAATGTATAACCCAGCACCCTGGGGCATGAACAGAGAGGTGTTCGTTGGGCCCCCTGAGTCCAAAGTAAAAGGAGAGGGAAAAAACCTGTTGGTGAGAGTGCTGTTGCAGTCTGGTCAAGAGTGGTGATTGCAGTCTGGTCAAGAGTGGTGGTTGCAGTCTGGTTGAAAAGTGGTGGTTGCAGTCTGGTTGAAAAGTGGTGGTCTGCAGTCTTCCTCTGGATCCCACGAGTGGTTAAAAAAGTCCCAAGACTCCAAGATTATATATCCTCCAGTTCAGACAGGACTGCCCAGTACCTCCCTCAGGGCGGGGAGTTCCACAATGGGTGTGAGGACAGGAGCATCCTCTTATCTTGCAGGCCTCTTAACACATAGTTTATAGCCTGAGGAGTCAGGCTGCTCTGGGCAGATGGTGTAAATGGTCTATTGATAACAGTTTCTGGGAAATGACATGGAAGGTTATGGAATACACAGTTTTGGGTTACACCCATACAGCGATGAACTGGTCCCAGCTGTTCCAACTAGGACACATCCTTGTCTCTAAACTGGAGAGACATGGATTTCATGGGTGGACCTCTTGGTGGATAAGGAATTGGCTGGATGGTTGCATGCAAAGAGTTGTGGTCAATAGCTGAATGTCCCAGTGGAGACCAGTGATGAGTGGTGTTCCTCAGGGGTCAGTATTGGGACCAGCACTTTTTAACATCTTTGTTGGTGACATGGACAGTGAGACTGAGTGCACTCTCAGCAAGTTTGCCATTGGCACCAAACTGTGTGGTGCGGTCAACATGGGTAGAACCATTCAGAGGGACCTGGACAGACTTGAGAGGGGGGTCTGTGCGAACATCATGAAGTTCAACAAGGCCAAGTGCAAGGCCCTGCACCTGGGTCAGGGCAATCCCAAACACAAATACAGGCTGGGTGGAGAATGGATTAGCAGTCCTGGGGAGAAGGACTTGGGGGTGCTGGTGGATAAGAAGCTCAAAATGTCTTGGCAATGCACACTTGCAGCCCAGAAAGCCAACTGCATCCTGGGCTACATCAAAAACAGCACAGCCAGCAGGTTGAGGGAGGTGATTCTGCCCCTCTACTGTTCTCTTGTGAGACCCCACCTGGAGTCAACCAACAACCATGGGAATCCTCTATTTTTTTTCATAGCATTAACCATGTCTTTTGGGGTTTGCAGGGTTTGTTTGTTTGTTTGTTTGTTGCTTACTGCTTGTCAAACATTTACCCTTCAGTTTGTTTTTCTTCTCTGGGGAGTTGTGTCCGTGACTGCCTTTGGCATCTCTGCTTCAGTCTGATAGTCTGATTGCTGGTTTCCCATTAGCTTTCTTGTGCAAGTAATGCATCAAGAAATGTCTTCTGTTGCATTACCATTTACTCATTCCTGTTGTATAATTTTTAGTAATTAATTAGTTTAATTGATATTACCCTAGTTAAAATTCTGATTGAGATCATACAGACTTCAGTGAAAATGTGGGTATCTTAAAATATTGCATAAACAACTATTTCCTCATAGGTGGCTCTACATTTTGTGGCATTGCATCACTGTGTTTGATGGGTAAACTGGAGGAAGTTTTTTCAGAAAAAGAACTGAACAGGATAAGAAGATGGTGTATAATGAGACAGCAAAATGGCTACCATGGACGACCCAACAAACCTGTAGACACCTGCTATTCCTTTTGGGTGGGAGCAACTTTGAAGGTAGTGTACAGAAAACCTACAGGATAATTATTGACCTGGTTTTATTTCTTAAACTATCTTGTGTTATTTGGAAGAATTACATAGCCGGTGCAAATACAAGAATATGCAGAGATTGCTATAAAGGTTTTTCATCTTGAAAAAATGCAGGATAAGGAGGTTTCACAAATTAGTGCTATATTGCACTACTTATCTGTCTAAATAGACATATTTTAATATTTAAAAATATATTCAAGTTTATATATTACTGTAACATTCTATCTTCTTTTCAGCTCTTGAACATATTCCAATATACGAATTTTGAGAGAAACCGGAATTACATTCTGTCAACTCAAGATCATCTTGTTGGTGGATTTGCCAAGTGGCCAGATAGCCATCCAGGTAATTCTACTTTTCAAAATTATGGTGTCTTTTAAGCGACAAATATATTCCAGCAGTCAAACACCTAAGAAGGGCAAGAGAGGTTTTTTCCCCAGTCTCTCTCAAGTAATGGAAAAAAATGAACTGTAAAGTATGAGATTTTCATGATTTAGAGGGAAAGGAATGTAGTTTTTCCTTGTTCAGCATCAGAACAAGTGAGTTGCTGTCATTTAGACTATCACCAAAACAGTGTCACTGTCTATTTAGAGCTGTACAAGCTTTTCCACATGTTTAATGATTCTAATTAAAAATTACACTGTACAGTGGGTATCTTTGTAAAGTGTCTGAGTAAAATATTTCAGAATGTTTATTTCCTTAAGAAATTGATCCTTTGAGCTTATTCAGAAACCTTTGATGCATTTAAAAATACTCAACTCAAAGTTTAGATAGTTACATAGTATGATTTACAGATTGTAATTATACATAGAAATTATACATAGTATATATTGTTGTCCACAGAAATTGGATTTGTCACCCAGTGTGCAACAAGCCAATAATTACACACTCGAGAGTGATTAATTATTTCCAAGTTGTGCAAGCCTGGGTGCTTGGTGGTATTCCACAAATCAAGGACACCAACTATCAAAGCTTTTTACTGTTTATACATTTTAGCATACAAAGGAATTAGTGTTCATTTGCTACAAGTTACATAGTTGTCTCACTTCCCACGCTAAGTAGTCCACATGCTCAGTCTTTCTCTTAGGTCAGTGGGTTTCTTGGGTCAGTTGTCCATGAGTCGGTCATCACAATCTCCCCCTGCTGGAATTACTTTTTACCCAGTTGGACCTGATTTCATCACAGTTGCTAAGTTGGCTTTATTAGTTTCTTCCTTATCTTGGGAGTTCTGCCAAATGTCCTCATGGCCCATAAATTCTGCATTCCTTGTGCCCACAATCAGTGGTACATCCTTCTTCCCAAGCTTTGTTTACCTCCCCCTAGGTCTTAGATCATTGAAGCATGTCCAGCCCTAAACTTTAACAAGGCAATTCTACCAACAAGTAATGTGTTTTTCTAACACTTGGACATCACTTTTAGAGCTTGTTAGCTGCTATCTGTTGTTTCACAGGTTAAATCTCCCTCGTTATTGATTGGGCTTGAAAGTATACAAAGATTAAACATCAAAGAACATCCTTTCTTAATAAAATTTTACATATTCCACATTTTGCAACAATATGAAGTAGTTATCGGTTGCATTTTAGAAGTGGAAACTGACAATTTAAAAATATGCTAGAATTCAAAGGAGATACTGTAAAGATATGAAAACAAACTTTGTGCCAGTAGTAACGTTCAGTGGCATTTTGTAAAGAGAAGAGAAGCAGTCCATAAACTCAGCAAACAAGATAAAAACATAGTTAGAATAAAGGAGGAGATTGATCAGAATCTGCACAGAGATATTTCAGTATGACATGATTTCATTTTGAAGAACAGTTGACAATTTGTCAGACTGATAATATAGGGCTCATGACATGTTTCCTCCCCTGAAAACCATTTTAGAATTTCTAATGACTAGCTAAATTTGGTGTACATTATGTAGACCAATGAGTATAATTTCAAGAAAATATTTGTTTTTCTTGATGAACTGTTTACTTATGAGGTTAGGAAGAAAAACACTATGATTAAAACCCCAGTCATGTAAGAATGTCCTCAAACTCTCTTTTAAGACACATTGAGATAAGATTTGAGGAAGGCAAGACTACGAATAAAGTTGTTTGTTCGATTTGTATGGTGTTCCTGCCCGTACACTACTGTTTCCTATAGAGCAAGCTCTTCCTGTCTCTTAAACTTTTTTGTGAGAGTAAGCTACTTTTTAACTCTAATGCTCTGGCTGGTCAAAGAAATGGAACAAGAAGATTGAACTAGAGTACTAAGGATTAGCTAGATTGTTGCTTTAAGAATGTACAGAAATTTTACTGGTGTGCCAGATTTTTTCTCTCTCTGTGTGCAAATTTCGAGTTGGCTTCCCGCCAAGTCTCCAAAACTTGACAACAAGGCCTGCTTCCCAGAGAGGGAAGGAAAAAAAACCAAACAGCCAAAGCTATAGTAAAAATATATTTTACATATAAAACAGATATATACAGTGAAAATGCTATATACCTATGACCCCAGAAACCCTAAATAGCTTCCTAAAGGGAAGAGGGGAAGGGAGAAAGGAAAAAAAGGACAAAATAGGACAAAAAGGGACAGAAACAAAACAGGTCTAAACGATCTAAAAACCTGGTAACCAGCAAACTAAAGAACTGGCAAAATCTCACCACTTCCCTTGAGAGAAGCAGGACGGCTGGACGCAGTCCAGGACTCTCCCCTCACGCGTGGCAGACAACAGCAGTCACTGTAGGCCTCAGCTCCAGATAAGCAAGACCTCAGCAGGGACCCATTGTTCTCAAACCTCGCAGGAAGAGAAGAGAGCGAGCTCTCTTATCTATGCCTTATTTATACCCCAGGTTACGTAAAGGAATAGCATGGAATACTTCCGTGGTCACTTTCCTAGTTCCTTCCTGGTTACAAGCTGGTCTCCAGGAAGGTCTAGACTGAAACCATCACACTCTGACAATTTATTGAATAAGTCTTATAAGATTGCATATCTTCTGGAAAAAACTTGTTTGGTGTTTCCTTTGGTACTGTTTGTATTGGGTTCATGTGGCCAGGTTTTGGTAGCAGGGGGGCTACAGGAGTGGCTTCTGTGAGAAGCTGCTGGAAACTTCCCCCATGTCAGGCAGAGTCAATGCCAGCTGTCTCCAGGACAGACTCACCACTGGCCAAGGGGAATTTTAATGTTGGGGGTTTTTACAGAAAAAACAAATAAGTTTATACTTTTATGATAAGTGGGTTTATTACAGCGTTCTTTCCTTGGGCAGATAGTGATGTAAGTCTGCGTTCATGTTTTGAAGAAAAACAGTAAAAAAGTTAATGCAGTTCTAATCTGAAAAATGACTGTAACTGTAATCATTTTTTTTATGGATCTGTAGTTTCAATGCCATATATACACAGCTGAGCTTCCTACAAGATCAGTCTACTATCTGAAAGCCAGACTGTCTTTTCAATGCAGTAAAGATTTCCCATTTTATTAATGTGAAGTGTGTGCAGCTCCACTGTTTTCAGAAACCTACTGATGGTTAAACGTACACAGTCCTCTTGACTTCCATGTAAATGCAAAATGATGTTAAGATAGTGAGACTGGTATGGATCATCTCACAAATGAGTTAATAGTTCTGTTGAGGTTGAATAAGGACAGAAATTATTCATTCTTCTTAAAGCATTTAGCTTTTGTAAGGCTGAGAATAGTAACCTCAGTTTGGTTTTGTTGCAAAGCTCATATGTGACAGAATATGCCAGAGAAAGGTTGCAAAATAAGCATATGCAATTTTTTCATAGGTGCTTTCTAAAACAGATTAAGAATCTGAACTTCTATAGCTTCTACTTTAGGCAAAAAACCTCTGTTTTAATAGGGGATTGAGTCCACCATCAGCAAATTTGCAGATGGCACCAAGTTGGGGAGGAGTGTTGATCTGCTGGAAGGCAGGAGGGCTCTGCAGAGGGACCTGGACAGACTGGAGAGTTGGGCTGATTCCAACGAGATGAGGTTCAACAAGGACAAGTGCAGGGTCCTGCAGCCAGGCAGAGAGGGACCTGGGAGTTTGGATTGACAAGAAGCTGAACATGAGCCAGCAGTGTGCCCAGGTGGCCAAGAAGGCCAATGGCATCCTGGCCTGTATCAGGAATAGTGTGGCCAACAGGTCCAGGGAAGTGATTCTTCCCCTGGACTCAGCGCTGGTGAGGCCACACCTGGAGTACTGTGTCCAGTTCTGGGCCCCTCAGTTCAGGAAGGATATTGAGGTGCTGGAGCAGGTCCAGAGAAGAGCAACAAGGCTGGTGAAGGGATTCAAGCACAAGTCTTATGAGGAGAGGTTGAGGGAGCTGGGGTTGTTCAACCTGGAGAAGAGGAGGCTCAGGGGAGACCTCATCACTCTCTACAAGTACCTGAAAGGAGGTTGTAGCCAGGTGGGCGTTGGTCTCTTCTCCCAGGCAACTGTCAGCAAGACAAGAGGGCGTGGTCTTAAGCTCTGCCAGGGGAGGTTTAGGTTGGATATTAGGAAGAAATTCTTTACAGAGAGGGTAATCAGGCATTGGAATGGGCTGCCCAGGGAAGTGGTGGATTCTCCGTCCCTGGAGGTTTTTAAAATGAGACTGGATGTGGCACTTAGTGCCATGGTCTACTAACCATGATGATAGTGGATCAAGGGTTGGACTTGATGTTCTCAGAGGTCCTTTCCAACCCAGCTGATTCTATGATTCTATGATTACATGGACTACCAAAATTACAAGTAGTCTCTACAGGTAAGCATCCAGATAGGGTTGTCAAACGCAGGAAAGGCTATCAGAAGTTTCCTGGAAAAAAGCGGTTAGATTTGCTATCTTATGCTACTGCTACTTATTACAAATATTAAACCCACAAACATTAGGGTTCTACAGAGCTGGGGATTTTTTTAGAATATGTACCTAAGTCATTTTTTTTCCAGATTTGAACATAAATCATTATGAAATTTAAATTAATTTTAAATTTATCTTAAACTACTAGATGTACTGCTGATTCATCTCACTGGAAATCTTTAAATAATATGCAATACAAAAGAATTGGAAACACATGAATTACAGGTGACACAAAAGAAAGATTAAAAGATCTAACATGATAAAAAGATAGGGAAAGGATGAGAATGAGCATGCACATTTACTAAATGTAAAAGACTGAAGTGAGATTTGCACTGCAAGTTCCAGTGTTCACGCAGGTAAAATCAGAGGGTGGAAGCATTGACTTTCAAGCAGAAATGGAAGTTTATTCTGGGGACTGGCAAAAACATGCACACCCCAGGGCCTCCCGGCCTTGCATATCAAAGGGTCCTAGGGCATGCGCCATGCTGCTTTCTGAGCCCTTTACCTTTACCC